TTTACGCGTAAAATCCTTTGCCGATGTAGGAGATTTTTCACTCCAGAGTTCCTAAAGCATCTATTCGCAGCAAAACCTTTGAAGTCTTTACTTTGGAATCACGGCGCAAAGTATTCGACGTATGCATGGTTTACAAGCTATTGTACCAAAGTAATAAATTTGGTTCCTTTGATTTTTATAATATGGCTCACTCCAGAACCAGAGGAGGTCAAACTAAAATCAATCTCCCTAGGCCCAGAACCAGTATAAGAGCTAGAATTTTCACATTCAGAGCAGTTAGCCTCTACAAAAAGGTAACAAAAAACATGATCGCTCCGGATTCCTTGACTAAGTTCAAACGCTCTGTGGAAGTAATTTTATCTAAGTCTGAGCTTTCATAGTTCCTTGAGGTTGACCATTTCTTCTTCTTCACCTTTGTTTTATATCTAAACTGGGAGTCATTTGCCTTATTTCATGTGATTCTCTTTATACGAGTACGTTTTATCCACATGTGTTCCTTGTATTTGCTCCATTATTTAAATTGAGAAGGTTGTTATCAATTTATACTACGTTTGCCTTAGCAGCGTAATAAACATAACATAACATATACCCTTATGAGTGAGCTCGTAACCTACAGTTGGGCATCCAAACTACAGATCCCGTTCTGAACACGCGCTTGCTCACTGATATTGATATTGTGATATTTATCTCACTGACTACGAGATCGTTAAACAAACGCTCTATGCACGTTGCTCTGATTTAAATGGAAAAGGAATCTCCAAATTTTACTTCACGCTCAAAAGTACAGCAACGAGCCCAAATCTGAAATTCAAAAACTTGCGTTCTGTTCCGTTTTACTCTTTTCCAAGTCAACACCAAATGATCCTCCCTCCGTTTAAAGACGACAGATCAAGCTCCTTTGAGGAAATTGCTATGAACCGTTTCAGGATCAGTTCCATCCCCGAATTGCGCCTTCAAGGCTCTTCGGATGTTTGTATTGTCAGTTGGACTAGTGATATAATTGATATCCATCGTCTCTACGACCTCATTGGTAAGAAAGGCTGGCAACTGACAAATTTGCAGTTCCCATCTGGGTATGTTGTCTATTTTTTCCTCGATTGACAACCGATTATTTTTCACTGTAGAAAATCCTTTTAATCCCGAGAACATTAGTTGACAATCTTGAAGTTAATAAATTACTCATAGGAATATGCTGTTCTTTCCAGAATTCACATTATGGTCACTCTCAATCATACGGCTGACGGCGTGGCAGACGCGCTCATAGCCGATATACGTGGTGCTGTGGACGAGATCAAATCGAGTCCGAACAGAGAATTGGAGGAAGCGGTGAGTATAAACCAATGAGCAGATCGAGCTATACAATACGGCATGTTGCAAATGTAGGACTTACTAGTGAAAGTTCACAATAGTGAATTGTGAAACCGATTCTGAGTGATTTTTCTATGAAAAGAGAGCGCCGTACCTCATTGTTCGATGGTTTAGGCAGCGTTGTACGGTATGGCCCAGAAGATTCCAGATCGTTCAGTTGTACAAGAGTTCGCATATGCTTACTTGGATGCTTGTTATTCCGCACCAAAATCCTAATACTGATTAATAAGTCTTCGGTTGACAATGGGTAGAAGATATGTACGTGCTGTGATTGCTCATTCAATCCTCCCATGAGAAGAAACTTTTTCTATCCATTTAGGCAGCTGTTGCTTTGATTTAATAAAGTGTTTGGATAACAGGACTGTCACCGTCTTTTTTTTTTTGAAGGTAGAGAGGATTTCGATAATTGGTTTCAACAGGATGCACTGCACTTGCTAGGTCGACCCATCTTACAGGAAACGATATGTAGATTGACAATGGTGTTCTACCTTTCTATGATCGAATGTGAAGCAGCTTTGTGCACTGACAATCAAAACTACATACTGGCTGAGCAGCAGCTAGATGACAACACAAAACTCGGTGATTGATGGCAGGCTGATTCTTGTAGTGCTATTTTTGAGTGCTATATTTGTGTTTAAGTATGGAAACATGATCATATGATCATCGTATGGTGGGGAAACAAGCAGTTGTGGAGGTTAATGAATCTGGGTAGCAGTGTTGTGACCAAAATTTTTGCTAGAATCACACAGAATACTTATATAATCAGGGTTTTTGGAACATTGAACATATACGCCAAAGACTACACTGCACTTGCTCCCCTACAGACCCTCCTTCAGTCTCTGTGCAAGCTCTCAAGCGTGGTTACATGCCCGGTTCAAACTGAGATCTGATTGATTGTCGTCGACAAGCCAACGAGTGGGAGCATGCTCGGAAATATTACCTCTACACGGCGGAATTCCAACGACAGATGAGCAGTGCGCCATTTGTAGCTTTTTTGATTGATGTTTTCAAATCACAGTTCGCGATAAAAATGGTTTTTGAGATTTCCGCTAGAGTGAATCAGTGGCAGCCAAGAACCGTACATGAGCCGCTGTCGGGCAGAATATAAAGGGCCTGGGCAGCACGTTTAAGGAGGTGAGGAAAGCAGATATTCTACAGGTAGCCTACGGTCTCTCTTCGGAGGAGAGGTCCTAGGGTCTGTCTCTCTGAATAGGGAGCCTAGGCTACTTGTACTTGTAGGCTCTCTGCTTTCTTAGCCAAAAATGAAGGATAAAGTTTTTATGATTGACTGATCCTGCTATTGGAACCCTGTTATCTCGACCCCTATCCATCAGAGTCGCAGAAGCGTTTCGATTGCGCATGTGAAATATACAAAATTCCCGGTGGCCAGCTGATGTACAAATTCGTGCTTTTGTAATCCCATAAATGCCAGAAGCTTATCAATCGACCCTAGGGCTTTGGATGGTCAAAGGCACAGTTCACGATCAAAATGGTTCCCACAATCTCCTCCAAGAATTATCCAGTAGCCCCCAAATGTAGCACAAAAGACGAAATTCTCAATAGGTATGCTATAGTAAATATTACCGGATTTGTCGATCTCCACGCCCACCAACTGATGATATGCCAGACGAGTTTCGAAGAGATAGAGGTTGCGCTGTTCGCACTAGGACTCAACTCTTGAGCCGACCAGCCGCTCGTACACTTTCATCGTGTGAGCAGTCAACCTGATCCCCCGGTAGTTGGAACACTCCATCGCGTCTCCCTTCTGCCTGAAGATTGGAACGATAGTGCTCCTCCTCCATGCATCTGGGCTTCTTCCTTCAGCGGCGACAGTGTTCAGGAATAGGGTGAGCCAGAAATCGCAGTTATGCGCGCGTAAAACCCTCGAGGCATTTTGGATACAAGTCACCTATTCAAAAATGAATCGTAGGGAACAATGCCTCGCAATCACGCGGGAGCTGCGGCTTTATATAAGATTGACCTTCCCTCACAGACTTTAATGAGGACGTACCCCAGCTGCAACTGGTCGATTGGTACCATCACTTGTTGGGTGGTTTCGAAGAATCCACAAAGTTACGATGAGTGGTTCTCATTTCGACCACCTGCGTGCATTGGGGGTCGAACTCGAACTTAGTGGGTTGGTGGAGAGGTTCGATCGGATAGCCACAGTTTGCTATGATCCTTCCAGGCTCTTAAGAAGGCGATTCCGCCGAAACGTCAGCCTAATGAAGCCTGTATACAAACCTCGTGAAGAGTTAAAGAAAACGACTCCGCAACAGAGCAATTGTGCCGAGGTTCATATAGAGCCGTACGTGGAAACTAAAAGAGGGGCCAAACTCTCTCACACGATTTATGACATAGAAGACCCGTGCACAACTAACGAAGACTGTCAATGCGCCGATTGCGTTTGTAGCAGAAAGGAGGCACTCTGTATTGCTCCTTGAATGCTTTGGCAATGAATTTTCACAAGTAAAAACACTTTCGTTCGTGTTTGCCGTTGATAATGCACTTCAAGTACTGCGGACTACAAAGTGGTTCCGTAGTAGTTGGGTTCTATGTCTCTTTGTCTGCAGTAATGCTCTCCTCAAAACAGTCGCAAAGGTGTTGACTTCCAAGATTTTCAACTATATTATAGTTGTCACGGATCTTTTACTTTTAAGAATACCAAGCTCCCTTTTGAAATTCCTAGTTAAAATTTCAATTCCCTTTGCGGTCAAGGGAGTATAAAACAATGATTTTAGCAGGTCTAGAAGGTCTTCAAACTTTTGTAATGGTCAGTTTGAGAGCCAACAAATGAACCATCAAAAAATTTTACGCGCATAGCCAATTCGCGTAAAAAACTTGCACTGCTCAAAATACCATAACAAATGTCTGAAGAGCAGTAGCGAAACGAAGACTTTCTCTCGGTGGTCATTGTAGTCATTCCAACTTATAACTTCCATCTTGGCGACGGGACATAGAGATGATTCCAAAGGATAAGACAGCACAATCGAGAAGGGTTCGACTCGCGAGTTCCTACTTATTCTAACTGGCAGAATAACTAGCTCAGCTGGCTCTCGCTCGAGATCATTGTGGTAGAAACGACCTTCCTAGCTCCTGCAAAAAGATTAGGAATTTTTCCTTCAATTCGCCTTTGAGTTGTCGACCTGATTTTAAATTAAGTCTGCGAAGGGTACACATCAGATCCTAATACAAAGAACTCTACTGCGACCAGAATAATGGATCTGTATGTATCTGGACTCGGCAGTCGCGTCTCATGAAGAAATCATTGACGCACCGCAGTAAAATAAGCAGAAGCCAAAGTATGTGACCTAATTTCTTACGCCTTCCTTACAGGGCGTCGCACTTCAGAGTGGCCGCTCCGAAACTCTGTTGAGTAGTTGTGAGCCATCCGACCTTTGAGGAATTGATCTTGCTTCAACAAAAAGCTCTCTGGGTATCAACGCCGTGCAATTTTAGCCTACTACCATTGTATGAACTTTCGTTAGCTCTCTCGTACAAGGGTACAGGTTGCAATAAAACGTCATTCGCTGTTCATTCCCTTTATTTTCTGAGCATGCATCTCCAACTAATGTCTATTTCGGTGCCTTTTCGACTAATTGTGACTGAAAAATATTCAAAAATATTCTGAGCAAGCTCCAGTAATCATTTTCATGAAATCCTCGCATTTATTCAAAGCTGGGCACTCCAAATATATACAAATGTAATCATCAATGCAGTTAGCAACAGTAAGCGAAAATGTCAGCTTCTTCGCATTTATATCCAGATGGACAGAAATTGTCCCTACATGATTTTCCGAATAAAATTCGTCGATATCCGTCCATAGGTATTGAGTATGGTTCGCGGCCGCTGCTACATTTCGGATGATAAGCTTTCTCGTATTTATCTAGAAAGATTTGTATTATACGGTACAATTTCAAAGAGCATGTGACTAGAAAATTTAAGGATTTTCATTTGTCTGGCTTCAAAGTAAGGTCGCTCCTGCGAGCCTCCTGAGGCGGCGTTGCATTTATTGTGAATACAACGCCACCGAAAACAATGACAAATTCTCTCCTACGATAGCAAAAACTACATTTCTAGAAAGAAAAGTTGATAAAGAGGCAGGCGAATTTAGTGTGTCGTTCGGGTCCGAAAGGCGATGGCTAGAAAATCCGTTGTTGAAATGCAGATTACACAGAATTTGCACAAAAGGATAAACTACGGTAGGGTGAAGTTCAGACTTAGCTTATTCGCAATGGCGGCGTGAAGTCCCTGACCTGCACACACTCAAATCGAAACTCAATTCGAAATCAAGGTGGATACAGTTGGTTCCAGACATCCTTATGCAAACCTCATAGAACAGGGTGAGCCAGATTTGTTGCGGGCTATCACACTGATACTGTCCGTATCCCTGGTGTCGAATGCACGTACTGATGCAAAAGATATGTGTTCAGAGAGGTCTACTTGAGGTATGACTTTCTTATGAAGCAGATTAATCTTGGGCTTTTATTCTGGCTGCTCTTGTGTTATAATGACTATTCAGCAGTTTCCTACGAAATTTCGGAAACAACATGATATGAACTGATTTTCTTCAAAAGCTACTTGCTTAACCCTTGAAAAGGTGACAGCTATTATTCCCCCTGCTATATAACCATACAGTTGAAGAAGTTTTCATTTTCAGGGTAAGGATGACTCTGGCCGTTCACGTACTTATGCCAGTTACTTACCTTCATTAGCTTGAGTGCAGCAGGTGCCGAAAAACGCTCCCATTCTGCATGTGTGGTCCAAGGGGCAGCCCTCATCGTTGAGTTTCGGACCATTGTTCTGTGTGATTGTGTTACCTGAAGAAAGCTTGCTTCAGTCACTTCACTGTGCTATCTACGCTCAAATGCTGCCAGTTCCTATTTACATAAAAACATTTGACACCAAAGAAAAGACCTCGGTTTTCATAAATGTTCCTCGGAATTTACCACCGCATACTATTTCTATTCAGGAGAGTAGTCAGGTTTGAATGCTGATGTAGTTCATACATTGGATTGCTGTACCTAGTCAATATAAAAGCCAGGGCTTTTATTTTTCCAGACGAGTCTAGTACGTATTTTGACCAGTTCTGAAGGGATAGAAGGTTACGTTGGCCTAGTCGGGTGTTCATCCGAGATTTCTACATCTACTATTAAAGTGACAGTGCGCCACTTGGCCCTATAGCACCTCAAGAGCTCCCTGGAAGATCTCCTTGCAATTTTTGTGAGGGGATACATTGAAGTCCCTCACTATTTCTTCAGCATTAATGCATTACATGTATACACTCTGAAATGCCTAAATCAACAAATAAATTTTCTATCGTATACTGAGATGGACATCATCTCCAAAAAAGCCAATCCCTAACAGGAACATGGGTGCGAACCCTCCCGTTCCAGAAAAACAAATATGGCTCGAGGCAACTTTTTGTCCCAGGAAGGTTGCCGAAATTGCCCTATAACATATTCGCCTTCACTGCTGAGTACATGCTCAGCGTTCCGAAGAAAATGCTCACAATGGATTTGGCCTATAACCGTGTCCTTAGCCTCGAACGGATACACTCCCAGGTAAAACTGTGGCAAGTGAATTCGGGAGCAATTCTGATATTTCAGCAAGTGAGATTGCTTGGAATATTGGAAGAAGTAGGTCAACAATCACATTTATTAAGTCCTCTCTAGGTATAACTCTGCCTACAATTTGAGCACGACGAAAATCCTATTTTTTCTGAACTTCAAAGGCACAAACAAACAAATAAGTAGCATCATCTCTGCTTGAGTTTGTTTTGCAGAATGATATCTGATAAGGCTAAGTGGGTTTCTAAAGTAAAGTTGTCTATAAGTTTAGTAGCGCATAACAAATGCAAATGTCAAGACTTATTGGAATAGGGCACGCTTTTGGAAGTGACCCCACAGAATCTTTTACTTGCTAATTTGCTCACGAATCCCGTCCAGTGATAACATCTAATGTGCTGTAATAATGAATTGTTGTTGTTTGTGTCGATTCTCACCTGGAGGTAACATCAACTTCGGGCAGATAATGGATTGGCCGTTCGACGTTCGAGCTGAAGGATTCATACCGCCGCAACCGGACAAGTCCGCTTAAAATACATTGAAAAACAGAGATAATAGCCGTCAAAAAATCGTTGAGAAATGTACCAAGCATGCAATCTGAGTAACATGCTGATGAAGAAGGATAACGGTTCGCGTTTCCACCGCAACCCATATATTCGAAAGCTAGACAAGCGACCGTGTCGTAATCAAAGTAGTACTGGAATTACAATACATTTTGGCACTATTTTACTTCTGCATTCGCAAAAATCTTGACAATTCCTCATTGAGGTTGGTAGGTATCCACAAATTACTGAGAACGCTGAACGCTGATGTGACTTACTAGGTGTAAACACAGTGTGTAAACCCATTCATTTAACAGTGACTACTTTTCTCTCTCATCACTTCGTCTCAGTCGGTTCCACTAATAAACCTTCCTGATATTCCTGGCTATCAACCGTCTACCAGCGGCTCACAGACGTAACAGAGGTAATGTCGCTAGTGGTGAATCATTGTCCTGATCGAGAATATATTGTTCTAATCCTTTTTGACAGCTGTGCAAGTTTGCGCCTATTCCTAGCAGCTCCTGTTTCCGCCAAATTCGAAATAATTAGGAACTGTGTGATAGGATAGAAGGATAATGTCTCTGGGCATTTATAAATCCCGTCTGGGGGATGCGAACTCGCACTAAATTTCTATTCAGAATCCTCATGGCATATTGAGTGCGTATGTGGCCTATACATACAATGACTTGCGGTGGCCAGCCGATGTTCAAGTCAGCTCTTTCATCCTCCCAGACAAATTTGACTGCAGTCAAGCGAAGGGACGGATAGCACAGTTCTGTTAAGGCGTATATCGATCTGGGATTCGATCTCAATCATAAATAATGCAACAACAATCTGATTTCTATCAATCCATAATCTCCCACACAGATGTCAACCTTTAGACCATCAACCACGTAGAATCAACAGAATAGCAATAGACAGGGAGGATTTGCAAGCAGCTACAGCAGCGCTCAAAAGTCTTCGGCCAAACGCTCTTACGCTCTTCCGTTCATAACTTTTTTCTTAGTGGAGCAAATCGAGCGAAATTCAGATATGTTTAACTAAAACGTATCTGACACTATCCAACCGTATTTCACTGCAAAGCAGCAATATCCACATAACTAAGAGCAAGGTATTTTGTGGAAGCAGACTTTGCTAAAAGAAAAGTAAGTGGCGTCTGCAGCTATTCGCACGTTGTAGGCGTTTTTCTCCTTCACTTTATTCGGCATTGCCTCTTCGCGCACAATTTAGACATAGGATCATGGCAAAAAGAAAGGAACTCCTAGAAGGACTAATGTATGTATTTCCAGTTGGCTTTGAGTTCAAGTTCGTTGGGATATCTGGAACACGATCAGGTTGCAGGTTGATAGTAGTAAATATTCACAATACACCCATGATACACATATATTAGGTTGATGCATAATTATTGCGGATTTTTTCGAGGCTTTTTTTCTCCCGATAAGATTTGAATATTGATTTCGGGTTTTTTCTAGAAATGATCTACTTGATTTCCTCTACAAAAGTGTACTTAGAAAACCATCCGTATATTCGCGAAATCAGGCTCTACTACTTCGAGAAAGGGTGGAAGGTGGCAGAGTCATTCCTCGGTCTCAGTAACTTTTTTTAAAACAAATTTTATTTAATGAAACGACAAAAATAGTGAACAAAAACATGTTCAAATAATTACTCCG